TATATATATATGTTTGTATGTTTATGAGGTTTTATCTCTTTATGTACACTTACTGCTAGGTGTTAGCTGATCTTACTTTGAAGTTTGGTATTGATGTTTAAATTTGTTGCAGTGATGCGAGGGTTATGTGGGATCCAAAAACTGGCCGCTCAAGGGGGTTTGGCTTTGTGTCTTTTAGGAATCAACAGGTAAAATTGTTGTTCTTAAGTTGATCATCTATATTAAATTCATATAAGTTGATTCAATATGTCTTGATTGTACCTGGGCAGGATGCACAAAGTGCGATCAATGATTTAACCGGTAAGCTTCATTTTAAGTCTATTTTATATTATTTTTCTTTGTGGAATAATTTAATGGTTAGTTGAGTATTCATACTTTATTTTCATGTTTTCTGTCATCCCTCATGATAGCTAACATTACTTCAACATTATTTGTAACTAGTTTATTTGATTTTATGATTTCATTTGCTTCTTGTCACTTTGTAAGGTAAATGGTTAAGCAACAGGCAAATTCGATGCAATTGGGCAACAAAGGGTGCTGGCACTAGTGAAGACAAACAATTCTTAGATTCCAAGAGTGGCGTGGAGATGACAAATGGTTCAACAGGTGGGTACTGGTTTGATGCCGTTCTTGATTTTTAGAATTATAGTTTTTTTTTTTCCTTTAAATTTGATAATCGAGCAAATTCTTGCCATGTATTTACATTGCTCGGAGTTAATGTACTTCATTTCTTATTTTTATTATGTTTTGCCCCTGCTTTTTAGTTCTAATTGATGGATGAGCATTTCTTCTAACAATGGATATTGCACTATTTCACTTATCACCTGCACTTCATGTTTGCTGACTGTAAATTATATTTCATGCCTTAGTTTTTCAAATGTAAGGCGTTTTATTTTTCCTTTTAGATTGTGGCTCTCCACGTTAAGCATCTTTTTTACAGGACTTGTTTACAAAACATGTGAAACACCTTGTTTCTGTATTTTGGGAGATAGGACTAAGTCTTTAAAAGTAGGGCATCAAAGGTGTTTCCTGTTTTTAAAGTTTGTTTCCCAAATAAAAACAGAGTTATCAGTGAATCAAATGTAAAGGCAGACCTAGAAAAAAAATTTAAAAGTAGCCTTATGCTTTTGCTTTAGTCTTTCATAAGCTATTTGTTTTGTGATTGAAAGTCGAGTTTTTGTGTATGGTTTCTTATTTGCTCTGAGGTATTATTCGTTTGTAGTGTATTATATGAATATTGTTTGCTATAAGCACTCTAAAACTTCACGTAGAGTTAGAAAATTTTTTGCTTATATTAGCCAATGTATTTATGTATGTATGAGCAGTGGAATTATTACAGTAGATTCAATTGAAAAATCATTCATGCAATTAAGTTAATTCAGAGGAATTAACCTCCAAATTGTCTTACATTGTTGCTTCCATTCCAACCAAGGCAATATCTTTCCTTGTGGTGAAAATAGCTGGAATTTCATCCAAGGAAGTACCACTGTCCCACCAACTGGATTTGCTATGGTGGACGGTCCAATTGCTGTCTTGATTATGTCTGTAGCGATTGGAAACCACTAGCCCACAGCTGCCATTTATATACTGTATTTTTTTTAGAGAATTTTGAGTATGGTAGAAGTTAATTAGTATTTTTCCTTCTTTCCGCATTGAGCGGTAATTGGTTTTTAAGGCTCTCCCTCAAGCTAGTTTCTAGAGATCATACACATCAAGTGTGGTAATCATCTTTTCAAATATGAATCTTGTTAATCCTTCGGCTAGGATGTTAATGGCCTAATCTGATGATTGAATATGTAAAACACAATTCTACTATTTGAATTTCTTTTTAAAGAATTATTTATCAATTTCCACATTTTTATTTTGATCCATCATATATTGATAGCAGTTTTTTTGCTAGAATATAAGATTAGGAGTTTTGAGAGTTATTTGAAGTTTTTCTAAAAATAGCTTAAGAAAAATTAGTTCTCTTATTTCATTAGATAAGGACTTGAGTTTAGCTTCTGCAATACTCTACCAATATATGTTGTTTTAGATTTCTCCAAGTTATAAGATTACCCCACTCATTAGTATATTGATGTAGATTTCTGTCAAATACAGAGTTTGCCCAATCAACATCGATATAGACTTTTATTACTTAAAATTTCTCTCTTTTCAATGAATAGCCCCCTTTTTGTGATCTCTTTTAAGCACTTGGGTATTTTTTGCATTTTTTCTTTGTATCGTACATGAATGAGCTGACTTACCATTGCTAACAATAAAGGTGATGAGTGATGCCAAATTTGATGTGACTTCAACGAATTAGTTTCCCAACCATTTTTGATATGCTTCTTTAAGTATTGGAGTGATAATGCTATGGTCACTTAAATTTGTGTTAGGATCAGTTTGAGTGCCCACAAGTTTGCTTCCAGGCAAATCAATTTATTTTAAGAGATTTAGAATATATTCTTCTAGAAAAATGATAATACCAGATTTATTTGCAGCAAGTTTCATTATAATAAAGTACATGAGATTGTCAATGTTTTTAATTTTATGCTCTTCAGCTTACCTGCCCTTGAGGGTCCTTATCTCCCAATTATTGAGGGTCCTTACCTGCTCTTGGGGGTCCTTATCCTCCCAATTAGGATCCCTTATTAGAATGATATAACCAGCATATAAAATTAATGTGGTTGACTTAACATCTTTGTGTTTGTAAAACAATTTATTTTCAAAATGATCCTATTAAATTTTTGTTGGGACAACTTTGATGGACTTTTGAACCATGCTTTAGGTGATTGCTTGAGCCTCTGAATGGATTTTCTCAATTTACATCTTATGTCAATGTTTTAGAGTCGTTGGTACTTGGAGGAAGAACAATATAGACTTCTTGATGAATTTTTGACGTCTGGTTGGTGGAGAGGCACTTAAGGTTGACCTCCATTGAGGGTCTGTTTGGGGCAGCTGTAGCCGCGCTGCCCCTGGAAGCTGCTGCGAGGAAGTTGGTTGCATTTTTGTTGCAGCTGTGTGAAAATTCTGAAAAAATGATCATTCTGTCTTCGTTTATTAAAATTTTTTAAAATAGAACTGTGACAACCACATATTTGATACTTCAGAAGTAGAAATTCATTTTAAAACAGTTCAAAAGCTCATATATACAACTTACAGTTAGTACCGAAAGTGCTAAAGATTTTTGTTTAGAATATTTACACATATGCCACACAATCTTATGTATTTACATATCTAACAAGTAAACTTTAATATTTAGAAAAAATTGCATAATATTTTGGAGGTCATACGAAAGAATTGGGTAGCATAAATGTAATTAAGTAAATTTAAGTGTTAGATATGACAATATATGGAATTAATTATGGTTTTAAGTATATGCATTTAAGCATTACTATTATTGGAAATATATGCATTTAAGTATTAATCATAAATGCACTTTCTTATTAATATGTGCATATATAGTTTTTATTTGTGTATATATAACTATTTTTATTGTACAAGTTTATTGAAAATTCAAGATTTGAGTTAAAGACAACATGATCAGAACAAAATGAGCTACAAATCACTATGATCTCTTATCAAACATATAATAAGCTTAAAACTAAATATTTTTTTTCCAAAATATTGTAAAAGAATAATATTTCAGAAAGTGATGTATCTTTCATGTTCTCAATTTTTTTTTTACTTTGAAAAAATCTTAACTTATTATTTTATGATTTATAGTTCATAAACAATGACAATAGTAACTGCTTTCTCGTTAACGTGGGGAAAATGTTGGATATTTTATCGTTAACGTGGGCGGCGGGGTCGATCCCGCGGCCCTGCGTTCCGTCAAATTCGCGGTGGCCGGCCGTGAACGCCTGTTTCAAACTCCAAATATTTGGATGGCGTCGTGGTTTGGGCCTCGCCGCACAAAAAAATCGGGCCCTGAAAGAAGGGCTCAAGTGTTAAGTTTCGCAACACGAGCAAAAATCTCTGAGTGGTTAATACCTTTAATTTCCTGCTGGTGAACCCTTTTGCGACAAGACATGATTTATGTCAATGGATCTTTTTGATTGACAACAAGGATTCATTTACACTAAAAATAATTGTTGAGACCGATCTAGTGTTTTTCGAATGTGTGATGGAGCACCAAAAGGCATTAGGGAAGTTGTAGAAGGGGACAACGGGAGTGGGAGGCGAATGGTGGCTGAAACTCGGCGTGAACAGCATCTGGACAGCAACTCGGAAGCACAATGACTGCCCTTTCCTGCTGTGAGCAGCTGGCAGAACAGCGTCCAGCGGCGGTCCGGCTGAAAACCACCGAGCGAAGGGTGGATTGGTGAGGTTCCGACAGCGAGGGGTTTCCACCACCTTTCCTAAGCAAGCTACAGACGCACCACTTACAATAGGAAGATGTTACAACACTCCGGAGAGTAAAATTCAGAAAAAAAAAAAGAAAAAATGTTTTGTCGTTTCATAAAATATGGAAAACCTTAAAATTTAAATTCCAATTACAACATATATAAAAATTTCCTCAAAGCAAGTACTTAATTAGAAACTAGGGATATAGGTAATAACCAAAAAACAAGAAACAAAGGAAACTTGTTAAAGAAATAAATGAAATAAAGTTAAAAGAAAATAATATAAAAATTGCATTCAGTCTGTCTTCCGCGATCACGGATTCTGTAAACAGCGGATCGAAGGAGTTGTGCACCTCGCGTCCCAGCCTTCCAAGTTAATTATATTCTTGGGATTTTTAATGATTTCTCAAATATTTTTTTTAAGGGCTTTCTTTTCATCTTCCATAGTCTGTCACCATCTTGGTTTATTAAGAGCTTCTTCTTAGTCTTTGTGATTTTTTCATTTTGCTATATTAGAAATCAGAGTTTTACAAAGGAGGATAGATGGTCACAATATTTGCAATAGGATAGATGGCACATTATTAACTTTTTTAATGGCGGAATACATTTTTTCATGCTTTGATTTATGATACCAAAATTTTTTGAATGTAAATATCAAACTTTGGGCGTTAATATGTGAATGCCTAGGAATTGTGTGGTATTTATGTAAAATTTCCTTTTGATTTTGACATTTTCGGGTGAGTGGTATGAGATGAGAATGGGTGAATACAACCTGCCATTTGATCTGAAGCTTCAGAGTTAAGGAACTGGGATTCTTAATTTTTGTTTGGAGGCTTTTTCTGGAGTCAGCTGTATAGATGATCCAATTACTCCGTGTCCAAGGAAATGTTGGCAATATTGTCTCTAGTTTTCATCTCAAGTCCCCCACTTTTTGATTGATAAGTGCGGGTTTGTTTGTCCTAATTTTTGGGGTGAGAGAGATTGATCTTATTTGTTTACTTGTCGTGTAGTTTCCAATAATTTTCTTTTGCGCTATTGGTCTTTTTACAACATTGCACCAAATATTACCTTTTCTTTTCTTGCTTTTGAGACATTTCTTAGGTTTTGTTCTAGACTGCTGATAGCAAGAGAGGATCCTTCAATTTGAATTGGGTTATTTGCCCCATCAGGTGTCTTCTTTTGGATCAAATACACTTTGTTCTTGCTATTTATTTTTTTAAGTGTGGTAACTTATTAGATGATACTCATCCTGTGACATCATATGCATGATCTCTTTAT